TATATATATATATATATATACAAAAATGAATATTAGAAACTATATTTATCAAATATTATACTGGGCAAGTAAAAATTGTTTCTGGGCAAATGAAATGTGAAAGTCACTTGCCCTTTTGGGCAAGTGGTAAAAATCCTTAACATCAACCCCTGTATATACTTATATCTTACTTATATAAAAGAAAAAAATGTTCCAGGTAAACTCCTTTAGTTTTCTCAGTTTTTTTTTCCTCAGGCAAGCAAACAAAAAAGACAAACATTTCCTCCATGTTTCTCTTGCGCTGGTAAAAAAAAAAAAAAAAACTATATTCCCACCCAGATGCATGCTGGTCCAACCACTGACTACCTATTTATAAAGAAAATAATTTGCCTAAATTAATCATAACTAACCAAAAAAACAGAGGAAAATGACAAAATAAGCAAAAAATATAATCTCATAACATATGTCAAATAATAAAGTAAAATAAACTTAGCTAAATTATGCACAAAAACAACAACAACAAAAATATATTATTTTAATAATTATTAACAAAAATAATAAGCTCCTATAAGTTTAGTTCCTACGCGCAGGTGGAAAAGTGGGTCTGATGCGCGCTGCGAGGAGCTACCCTATAATTTCTTTGCCCTGCAGCTATATATGGTGTGATCAGAGGGAATAAAGTAGTTTTAATATGTTTTTAAGTGAGAAATTCCACCTGAAAACTTCATCATTGCAGTCAGTTTATCCAGATTACCATCCGGCATTCAAATATTATGTAGCTGTTGGAGCCGCTTAGACCCCCACATACCGGCGGTGCCCTGTCACTAGGAATCCCATCCAACAGCAGCCTATGACCCGGTCGCCTCTTCGCCACCTTCTACAGAAGCACCATAGAGAGCGTTCTGATCAGCTGTCTCACTGTGTGGTGTGGTAAGAGAAGTAAGAACAGCAGAGAAGATCATTGGGTCTCCTCTTCCCTCCATAAAAGACATTTCATCCCGAGCCCGTAACATAATCAATGACCCCCCCACCATGGATTGTTCTCCCTGCTACCCTCTGGGAAGAGGCTTTACAGCATCCGATCCAGGACCTGCAGGTTGCACTTGCACTACATGGTGAATCTTCAAAATAGAACTCAACTCAAATGTTTTTTACTGCCTTTAGCACCAAAGCTATTAGTGTATTTTTGCACTGCTCTGAACCTTCCACATCAATGCCTTTTTCCACCATGTCTCTGCTACACTGTTTACATTTTGATCACTACTGAACTTTATGGATGGAAATGTTCTTAACACTAAGCTGCTGGTCATTCACTGTTGCAAAGCTGTATACAACACTGTGTATAAAATATGCCAATAAACTAAAGTCTAAGTTATGAACCAGTTTGTCTTGGTCTACCACACAAATCCCAGTGGAAGAATGCATTTGTAATGTAATAAAATGTAAAAGAACAGGTTTTCGGTGCTTTTCCTGGTTGTCCTATCCTAGGAAAGTGAAACATGATCGTATTCTGATTAAGACATTGTGGAATCCAGTTTGAGAGGTGTGATGCAAAGGAGGAAATACAAGATACCATACTCCTCAAACCTGATCAACAGCTTTTCTGTACATTAATTCTCAAAGATATGAATGATTAAGCAGCACTCTGACTCAGGTTGCTTTGTTTGTTTCCTTCATGCTGAGGCTACCTAGATGTTTTACACCACATGCCAAGGTGACCAGACGTCTCCGATTTCCAGGCATTCCAGTCCTCATTTTGGACCACCTGTCCCCAACTAAAGCTGTCCCCGGAAATGTCTCAGATTTTACCGTTTCATGAATGGGGGGAGAAAATGTTGCGTGTAGGCTGTTATTACGGCTTTTACAGTAGCATTTTGCTATAATGATCTTTATGGATCTCAGCTGCCATTAAAACACAAAGAAGGAAAAGAGCGCACCACTTTTTAAACAGCTGAAGAAGTAAAAGCGGAAGTTCGTTATCACATCCCGACACAACTGATGGGGAGTTGCCCTGTGTTATGGTGAGTGTGTCAATCGATTTGTTTTATTTGGATTGAGCTGATCCTGTGATAAATGTTTTTTCATGTCCAGTTAAAAAAATTATCAATAAAAAGAAGTAAAACAAGACCACAGTTTAC